GCCAAGATGGACAGTACCTGAAAGGGGGAGTGAGGATTGAAAGAAAGAAAAGGAGACAGAAAAGATGCTTGGGAGGACTGACAGCGAATACTGCAGCACCGGTTTATTTCAGCTCTGCCTTTTTATACAGAAGAACTCAATTAGTTACAACAGCTGTTTTTCCCCACCTGTATCTGAGGGTCAAGGAGCGGTCAGATCAAAGTCTTCTTTGATCCTTTTGTTTACCACTTTTGCCTCCAGGTCAGGTATTGTGAGGCTCTCCATAAACACCTTCCCCCTGAATAGGCCAATTTAGGTACTGGTTTGCATGACACAAACTCAGTAAACAAGGCTGCCACAGCTCAATGATTAGCAGCTCCCGACAGAAAAAAACACCCAAGAGTAGCTTTTTGTTGGGCCCAACACTACACCACCACTCTGAAGGATGCCAGAGCAGCCTGCTTCTGTACCCAGAGGGGTGTTCGGCCCAACCACAGCCTTACCCCTAGTACCTCCCCTAGGCCACCTGCGGAGATGCCCCCTCCCTGCCTCTGGCTCAGGTGAGAATGGTTACAGATCCTCTGGAGTTCAATGAGGATTGTGAAGTCAAAAAGTCTGCTGCAAAGTGTACCAAACGTCCCCGGCTGAGGTTGGTTTTCAGGAGCTGCACCGAGCAGCTACCACTGTTGTGTGGATTCCTCACAGTTTGTATGGAGTACTCCAGTCGTCTGGTGGTCCCATAAGCATAGACACTGGCTCTTTGACTAACAGTCCTTTAGTTCAAAGGGGCAAAAGACAGTCCAACAGCTGCTCATTAGGGTATCAGCTTGCTCCATGTTCCAAGACCAATGTCTTTATTTGCAGCAAAATAAAGTTTTAAAAAAGTGTTTTCAACAAGAACATAAATGAACCATTAACCTCAATAGTGATTTTCAAATTATTTTTTATTATTTTTATTTTATGTGTATGAGTGTATTGCCTGCATGTGTGTAAGTGCACCTGTGTCATGCAATGTCCGGTGGAGGACAGAAGAAGGTGTCAGATTCCCTGGAACTGGAATTATGGACGGTTGTTAGCTACCAAGTGGGTGCTGGAAATCAAACTTGGGTCCTCTGAAAGAGCAGTCAGTGCTCTTAACCACTGAGCCATCTCTCCAGCCCCTCAACAGTGATTTTTTACAAATTTCAACCGTGTGTTCCTAGTGCTTAACATCTGCCCAGGGCCCCTGGGAGAGCAGTTCCCTGCTTGCCTGTCCCACTGCTGGGTTCAGCTGTGCAGTCTCACAGACACCTGCTAGACCCTTGAGTCCTGGATGAACCCTTGTGGACAGGAGTATGACCTATATAAGAAGGGTTAGAAGGACTATCATGTGTCTGAAGCTGAGGTCCCGGGATTGGGAAGGGACTTGGTGGCTGAACCCATCTCAGAGGTGAGGCCCCCCAAAAGTGCTAGAGAGGAGGGTGCAGGCTTGCCTACCAAGGTCAGAGCTCAGCCATGTCTCCTTCCTCAGCTGGGAATCCGGGGACAACAGCAACATCAGGAGTGGTTCTTGGAGCCATCGGGGGCGCTGGTGTCACAGCCCTGCTCGCCGCCATCTGCCTCTGCCTCGTCTTCATGTGAGCCTGGGCTTTGGGGTCAGGGGTCAGGGAGAAGCAGGAAGTTGGAGAGGCCTGGGGGGCTGTGAGAACCTTTGTCAAACGCATGGGCTGTGGGGTGTTAGGAACACAGGCTGCAGCCACTGAGCAAGCGCAGGTCTGTGGGGCCAGAGGTCAGGAAGTCTGGGTTAGGAGGGGGTCCTTGTTAATTATAAAGGCAGATGGGTGAGCACTTTCATGACCTGTCACCATCATCTAAGATCATGGCCACGACCCCCAGGTTAGCAAACCAGGTTGAACCCTTGCGTCTCCCTCAGAGCGAAGACTCACAGGAAGAAAGTAACCAAGACCGCAGTGAGCATGAACCACATCCACCCTGCAGCTGGATCTGCCTCCCAAGTGAGTGACCTGGGCCCCTTGCAACCCCATCAACCCTCAGGATGCCTCCCTGGGGTGGTCCACAGTGGTGTCCCATTCTGCAGGCACAGATCTGAGCTTGTCTCCTGCCCCCTTGCTTTGCAATGTATGTGTATTCGTCCATCATGGCAGGGCCTGTCAAGGCCTGTCGATCATGAAATGATTGCCATTGACCAAAGAATGTAGAAATAGGCATGCTCGGACATACAAGGCTACATGGGGCAGCACCAGTCTGTTCAGTGTGAGTGGGAATGAGGGGACAGCGTGGACAAGAGCCTTGAATGTGGTGTTTGTGGAAAGGAATGGGTGAGACAGGGTCAGCCGGTTAAGACAGTCATTCTGAATAATTTCAGCTGGCTCTGGGGTGCAAAACTGTCTCTACTCACCTGTGACCTGGACCTGAGGTTGTAGGATAGAAAGACAGAGGCCCAGAGTACAAGAGTTCCATAAAAGATGTGATGACTGAATGTTGGATCAGTATTTGCACAGGAAAGGTGCGTCCTTCACTGTCCCTAGAAACCCTCTCATGCTGGGCGTGGCGGTGCACACCTTTAATCCCTGCACCTGGGAGGCAGAGCCAGGTGGACCTCAGCGGGTTTTATTTTGTTTGAGACAAGGTCTCACTATGTAGCACCTGGCTGGGTTGAAACTCAATGTGTAGATCAGGCTGGCCTCGAATTCACAGAGGTCCACCTGCCTCCATCCCCAAGGTGCTGGGATTAGTTGTGTGTTGTGTGCCACCATGCCTGGCTCTGAGATTTCTTAAAAATTTTATTTGTAATTTTATGTGCATGAGTGTTTTGCCTGCACATACGTAAATGCACTCATGTCATGCAATGCCTGTGGAGGGGGCATCAGATGCCCTGGAACTGGAGTTATGGACGGTTATTAGCTGCCACGTGAGTGCTGGGAACTGAACCCAAGTCCCTTGCAAGAGCAGCCAGTGCTTTTAACCACTGAACCAGCTCTCCAGCCCCTCTCTGAGTTTTGAGGCCAGCCTGGTCTACATAGTGACTTTTAGGCTAACCAGGGCTATGTAGTGAGACCCTGCCTCAAAAAGAAAAAAAAAATAATAATAAACTCTCTCCCTGAGAGAAGCAGCATCTCCAGGGTCACCAAGAGCCCAGATCAGAAGATCACAGACACATCAGCACATCCCTGAACACGCTTCTCTTGCTGGCTCTCTTGTCCCAGTAACCCAGCCAGGACCCAGTCCCTCTGCACCCCCATTCTCCACCCCTTCCTCCTCTGTGATATGTCACAAAGGAGTCTTTGCTGCCTCTTAGCACAGTTTGTAGAGCCGAGACCCGGAGGGTGAGGCTGGGGGACAGCAAGTGCATTTGAGGTCAGCCTGGGTTACATAGCGAGATTTGGTCTCAACAATGGAAACAAGAGACATGAACAGAGGTGTTGACACTCTGCAGGTCCAAGAGATTAACCCGAATGGGAGTCAGATTCTGGGTACATCTTGAAGGAGGAGTCACCAGGCCATGGTTACCTGTGTGTCCTGGCTTGTCAGCTCACTGCTATCACTTCCAGAAGACCCGGGTTTGAATTCTAGCACCCACATGTCAGCTGACCACCATCCATAACTCCAGTTCCAGGGGATGGGACGCCCTTTTCTGATCTGTGTGGGTATTGCATGACACAGGTGCACTTACACTGTGGGCAATATACTCGTACACATAAAACTTGGAAAAAAAATTTCAGGAGGACCAACATCACTCTAGTTCCTTCAAGGATGAGGAGCCTCTGAGCTCTCCAAATGGTGAAGAGTGGAGGGGGTCCACATGGAACAGGGTTTAGGGACCCTCCACATCACAGTGTGATGTGGATACAACCAGAAAAGAGAGTCCACAGACAGCGCCCTGGGCCCTGCACATGGAGATGAGCGGGAAAGGGGAGGAGACCAGGAGGAGTCACCACTGAGCAGAACCACTGGGAGGAGGGTGCTGAGCTGAGTCCTGTGGTCAAGGAGGGAACTAGAAGTATGTCTCAGGTGCAGACAGGTACAGTTGACCAGCGGGTAGGATTTAACTGAGTGGATCATGTTGATCTTGATGCCAGCAGGCCTGGGAGCTTGGAGGGAAGAAATCTCTGTAGATTGTTGAGAGTCTGAGAGATGAGGAAGTAAAGGAGGTAAGTGCTGCAGGTGTGAAGGCGGCTTTGAGAAACTCACTAAGTCAGAGTTGGAAAGTGGACCAGCAGCAGTTAATGGGCACACTCTCTAATCAGTGGCAGCAATGTCTGATGCTGTCTCCAGCAAGCCCCATGCACCTGTCTGTGACAGCACCTTGTGTATTGTGGTAATGACACCGCCATGGTGTCCCCACCACATGGAGACCCACAAGGTGGGGGTCAGAGGAAAGTGCTGTTCTCTCTCCAGCTCAGCTCCACTGGTGGCAGAGCTGGAAATCGCTTCTTTATTTAGCGCTCTGTCTTCATCCCTCTGAGGAGTCACAGGACCTGTCTCTACATTGCTGCCCTCCTGTGGATCCAGTGCTCAGCACAGAGACACCTCGGGGAGGTCTGGGGTGAATTTATGATCAGTAGGTGGGCGACACTGTGAAGGACACAAACTCCCCGAAGCTTAGTTTCCTTGTCTTTAAAATGGGTAAAAATAGTAGCATTTCCCACCTAGGTCTTTCAGTAGATGATCAGTAGGATGCGGAAAACATGAGTGGCCAAGTAGATAGGGAAAGTATTAAAAAAATGATGTCGGTGTTGTGATGCCCTCAGAAACACCTTGCAGAGGAAAGTGGATAAATGTTCTATTCTAATGAATTCGCTTCACAGACCTTTTGTTTTTAGGTAGGGTCTCCCTGTAGCCCCAGCTGGCCTGTAACTCACTATGTAGACCAGGCTGGCCTCCATCTCACGGAGAACCTCCTGCCTCTGCCTTTGGAGTGCTGGTGTTAGAGGCGTGCGGCACCATGCCTGGCTTCACAGACCTTTGCTGTTTCCCGTGGGTCTCCTTTGCCGCCCCTCCATGACCCCCTCCTCTCTTCACACAGGGTCAACAGCAAGGTGCCAAAGTGCACAGCCCTGTTGAAGACCCTAGCTTGGGGACAGAGCAAGATGTGCAGTATGCCTCCCTCATCTTTCATGGGACGAGGCCTCGGAAGGACCCCACACCCCAGTACTCAGAGATCTGAACTCACTGAGGAACCATCAGGAATGTCCCCTTCATCTGGAACACCTCTATCCTCTGTAGCTTTTCCATGGCTGATTCTGAGGCCTCCCATCCCAATAGGCATCGCATGACACTGTGAGTGGATCTCCCATTCTGTTGTCATTGTCTGACTTTGCAGTATGAGACCTAGGACCAAGCCTGGACCCGTTTATGTAAGATGCCAGGTAAACCCCTTCGTTTCCATGTCTGCTTCCTCCCTGGGCCCTGGATGTCAACAGTTTTACTCCAGGGATCTTGTAAATATAAATTCTCACATGAAGACACCTCAAGGAACCAGGTGCAGGTTGAGTGTGGTGGTGTACGGCACTGTCCTCTTGAGCAAAACACTAGACGTCTTCATAAGACCAGCTGTGTCTGCTTGCAAAAGATCATCACTTGGTGATTGTTGACGTAGACAGCGGGAGGGGGGGGGTCATTGAACTCTCAGTTTAGCATCTAGCCACTTCTCTGGCCAATTACACATGGTCTCAGGGTGGGGGGCGGTGGGGTGGTGGTGGCTGGAATATATAGGCTGAAAAAACTAGGGAAAAGGCTCCAACTGTTACCATCTAGGGGCCTTGATTGGGTTCCTTTTCGCCACCAATTAAAGAGTTTAAAAGCAGGAAAATCTCCAAAATGGCAGGAGACAAACTTTATAAGAAGAAACACACATGAAGAGAGTTCAAGGCTAGAGCTCCAAGTGGAGATGTTCAGGACTGAACTTGGTCTTATCTAACTGGTCTGGACTGGTCAGCCAGAAGGAGACCTTGCCAGTGAGAGAAAAAGCCTGCCAGGTCTTTGTCTCAGAAGACCAGGAGGTTTACCATTTTCAGTACTAATCAGTGCTCTGTCTGCTTGTCAGGGATGTAGTTCCTTACACATCTACGCAGCCGTGGGGATGCCATCATCTGTGCAGGCTGCAGAGCCTCCAGTCTGCCTGTAAGCACTCACCCACACTCTATAAGGAAGCCTAATAAACTCATTGGTTCCCCCAGGGTGAACTTTGGTGAAATGAAACTTTGGTTTGTCAAGAAAACCTTAGAAAGTTGGGTAAACATTACCTGGTCCTCCTGCGGGGAGAAGTCTCACAACAGGTTACATACTTGGTCACCCCACACGTGAACATTTGGCCCCCTTCCCCATCATTGCCCCTGCTCAGAACCCAACAGCAGCCCTTCCCCTGCCTTACCCACCAGCACCCTCTCTCCACTCCCAAGTCTTCCTTTTTCCCATCTCACCTCTGCCCTACTTGGGCTTTCCACATTATGTCTTGCTGCAGAAAAAAAATCACATATTAGCAGTTAAGGAAGTTTCTAAAGCTTAGATCTGACCATAGTTAAAATAGTTCCCTACCTTCCCATCCCATAAGAAGAATTTAAAAGCTTTTCAATATGATGTTTACAAACTGTTTTGCAGAGGATCCAATGGTAATGGATTTCAGGCTTTACAGCCCATGTGGTCTGTTTTGCAAGCACTCAACTCTTCAGTTAAAACACACAAGCAGTCATAGACCATGTCCTAGTCTGGTTTCTGTGGCTGAGAGAAAACCCTGACCAAAACCAACCTGAGGAAGACAGGGTTTATTTCATCTTACAACTCCCAGGTCTCAGTCCATCGCTGAGGCAAGTGGGCGCAGGAACTCAAGACAGGAACCTGGGTGCCAGAACTCAAGCAGAGGCTGCAGAGGAACGCCAAGCCAGCTCCATACATGGCCCAGTCGCACCTGCCCAAGGATGGCGCCGTCCACGGTGGGCCTCCTGCATCAGTTAGCAATTATAAGAAAATGCCTCACAAGCATGCCCACAGGCCTGTCTGGTGGAGGCAATTCAATGGAGGCTCCAGGTGCCTCTAGTGTGCGTCAGTGTGCCTGCTGGGGTCAGAAGAGGGTGTCAGATCCCCTGGAACTGGAGTTAGGACAGTTGTTAGCTGTCATGTGGGTGCTGGAAACTGAACCCTGGTCCTCTGGAAGAGCAGCCAGTGCTCTTAACTGCTGAGCCATCTCTCCAGCCCAGTAGCGGTCATCTTAACTCAGTCATTCCAGGAGGCCACACCATCACAGTGTTGTCTAAACCTTTATCTGATCCTAATGGCCTTTGTTCCCTGCAGCCACACAGCTGCCACCAGGTCTGTGCTGCTTCAAGGGGCTGCAATATATTATGAGTTCCATCAGCCATTTAATATTTGAGGTATGGTAGATCTTATGTATCAGGAAGTGTCATTACAAACCATGGAGAGGAAGGTGACCACCCTTTCCTCTCCTTCAAGGATGTTTCACTACCAGACAGCCTCAGTTATACTCTTATCGACCACAGTAGGGTCCCCAGGAGCATTGCTACAGTGAAGAGGCACAGCATCCCATATGCACGGGGAAAGGTAGCCATATTGGTATTTCCACTCACAGATGCTCCAGTCCCCTACAGAGGAGCCTCTGCTGTATCCCTATCACCCAGTACAGGTGCCATCCGCCCACTCCTCCCGAATGGTGAATGAATGTGCGTACTGGAGTTGCTTTCAGAGGCATGAATAACGACAGGCTGCTTACAGAAGCCCGGGGGTCTTGGGCAGTTGCATCACCAAAAAAGCCCTCCCCAGTATGGGGGGCATCGCTGCACTTTTCTGAACGACTTTCAGGCTCCACTGAACAGTCTTCCTCTCCTCCCACAATTATTTACTGCTTATATAACCCCGATGAGACGCGTTGTAAGTCTTCTGACCTTGTGACTTTTTGTAACTCTTGTGGCTTCCATGAGCCTTCTTTCCCCTGAAGTTTCACTTAGGAGGAAATACACAATACTGGCCACAGACGGAACCCACTGTGTTCTGGGGAGGGGAGAGCTGGAGAGATAGTGAAGAAAGAATGCAGAAACAGGGCTAGTGCACGAGGAACCTCGACCCTTCCTCTGCTTGCCCAACTGGTCTTCCCTTTCTCCATCCTCTGTGCCACCAGTCACAAAGAACAATGGCCCCTGGGGCTGGATAGACTCTTTCAGAGGACCCAAGTTTAGTTCCTAGCACCCAAGCCAGGCAGCTCACAACCAACCACCTGTGACTTCAGCTCCAGGAGGTCCAACACTGTCTTCAGGACTCCATGGGCACTCATATGCATGTGCACATACATTGCACACAGAGACACACACATACAAATAAAAATTAAATGTTTTTAAATGGCCACTGACACTGTCCGCATAACCACGCCCAGGAAATAAAATCTCTTTAAAAAGCATCAAAGGAGGGGGCTGGAAAGATGGCTCAGCAGTTAAGAACGCTGAATGTTCTTGCAGAAGACCCAGGTTCGAATCCCAGCACCCACATGGCAGCTAACAACTGTCCATAACTCCAGTTCCAGGGGATCTGACAGCCTCTTCTGTCCTCCGAGGGGATTGCACGACACGGATGCACATACCTACGTGCAGGCAATACATGCATACACATAAAAATATAAAAATAATAAATAAAATATTTTTTTAAAAAAGCATCAAAGGAAATGTCAAGAAAATAAAAGAATGGGATTAAATATTTGCAAGTCATGTACAGCATCTGTTGAGTCTGGTATCTAGGATACATGAAAAAATCTTATCACTCGACAAAAGACCAATCTCAATTTAAAAATGGACAAAGATGGCTCAGCAGTTAAGTGACCTGGGTTCAATTCCCAGCATCCACATGGTAGTTAACAACCATCTGTAACTCCAGTTCCAGGGAACCCAAGACCCTCTTCTGACCTCCATGGGCACTGTATAACATGGGTGCATTTATGTACATGCAAGCAATACACTCATACACATAAAATTTTTAAAATAATAAATTTTAAAAAGGGAAGTTGGCTCACAGACACGCCCACAGTGTAGTCCGATGAAGGAAATCCCTCAGCTGAGATTTCCTCTTCCCAGGTGACTCCAGTGTGTGTTGAGCTGACAACTGGTACAGTGGGGGGTGGGGCACGTGATCGGGCCAACATGGAGATGAAGTGAAGATGGATGGGTCTCCAGAGAAGTTTCCTGTGAAGAGCGAATCCTCAAGGTTGTAAGGTGATGGTCTAGGACCCACTTCTAGAACCTGTTGGCGACTTGACACAGGATGGTCCCCGAAATGTCCCCAGATCAATGTGTGTCCACCTGTCAGGGCCATAACTCTGCTCCTGTTTGAGCACATGGGACCTGAAGCCCCCAAGCTTGTCCCCACATGGTACAGTATTCCACAGCCTCCTCATCTCATACCTGGGGATATAAAGGTTGTCAATCAAAGGGGAGTCACCTGTGTCAGACCCTAATAAAAACATAAAAACTAACCAACCAAACTAGGAGGCTCTGTGTATAGATCTGCTACTGAGAATCATCATAGAACAGGCAGCTGGGCATGGTGGTGCACGCCTTTAGTCCCAGCACTGGGTGGCGAGGGCAGAGGGATGCAGATCTCTCTGAGTTCAAGGCCAGCCTGGTCTACACAGTGAGTTCCAGGCCAGCTGGGGCTACAGGGAAACCTGTCTCAAAAAGAACCCCCCCCCCAAAAAAAGAAAAAGAGTCATCATAGAAACTTCCAGAGTCACAATGTCCCACAAAGGCCACCCAGGCCTTACAGGCCTTACACATAAAATGCTCTGAAACTGGACTTCAGGTTTGTGCTGCCTGTCGCTTGCTGATACCAACAAGGGACAGGAATTGACTCTGAAAATTGTGCAGCTTTATTGAGAGCCAGCAATGAGCAGGCACAGCCTCCACTGTTCTAGAGCTCTGTCTTCCAGCTTATCTCCAGCCAGCGGGTCACACAGAAGGGAACGGTGGCGGAGGGGACAAAGGCAGCCAGTTGCTCAGACATGAGCTGGTGGGGGACACAAACTGTAACAGCCCTCATCCTACCTGACTAGTGTCTTCACGATAAGATCAGGTCACACAGGCACACACAGGAGACTAAGGAAAAGACTGCCTCCTACAGGCCAAGGAGAGATGCCCTCAGAGGAAACCAATGACACCACCCCCCTTGATCTCAGATGTCTAACCCCAGAACCGAGGAAATGAACGTCTATGGTTTCAGATACGTCCCTGGCAGTACCCTTGACCACCAGTATCCACAGGACAGTGTCCCAGCACCACCTGTGACTGCTCCAGTCCTTATATAAAATGGGTGGTAGGCTAGGGCTGTGTTGTAGCTCAGTTGACAGAATACTTGCCTAGCACGCACAAGGTTTTAGGTTTGATTTCTGGCACTGCATAAAAATGGGCTTGGTATAATACATCTGTAATCCCAATACTTGGGAGGTGGAGGCAGGAGGATCAGGAGTTCAAGGCCCAGACCTAAACAAGACACTTATACTACCCCTTCTAAGGCTCAGGGAACATTGCAGAAGAGGAGCTTATAAGAGTGTAGGAGTGGGTTGGAAAGATGGCTCAGCGGTTAAAAGAACCGGCTGC